TCCCCTTAGTGCTGTTATTTGGGCTTTGTATTGGCACCTAACCACATTCTACCTGTAGTGAAAGCTGTAAGTCTTGGTTCCCACTCTAGGTGATAAGTTTTTTGAGTGGAGGCACCAGCTGCATCTACTTGAAAGCATATTCTTTTCTGTATTTCCAGCAATGCCAGGCACAGGACCTCTGAGTTGCATTGTTGAATTAACATCTTTTGGTGATTTGTGAGTTAATTGTGGACTTCCATAGGGTTCTCCCGCAGTATATTTTTTGCTTTGAAGAGTATGTTTATCTTCCCAGGTGCATAAATGAATTTTTGGGGGTGAAATGGAGATTTTATGTCTGTAGTTTGTATAGTTTCATAGACTTTACACCACACCCTGACCAACCACTTTCAGTAACTTTGAAGACAGTTGGTTATGGAAATCATTCCCGTGCATGGGTCTTCCCTGAAGCTCTGCAGTTGGTCTTGGCAGTGGGACCTTCATGTGTGACAGACAGCAGATGGTCATGGAGTCCCCAGTCTGTGTGCCATGTAGGTAGAAGCTTGAAAAAAGCCGAAAAGAAACTTCCTTTGTAACTGTCGTGTCTCTGCCTTATTTGGACTCCCAAGAAGGAATCTTGCTGCAGGCAGAGCTGTCTGATCGGGAAAGAAAACTGACTCTTACCAGGGAAGGGCCCGGGAGGGGCAGTAATACCAATGAGCATATTTTAGTTGGTTTATGTCAGTTATTGGGGACCATTAAGTAAATAGATGTTGAGTATTTTCTTTTTCAAAAAAGGCTTTTTGTTTTGTTTTGTTTTGTTTTGAGATGGAGTTTCACTCTTGTTGCCCAGGCTGGAGTGCAATGTTACAGTCGCGGCTCACTGCAACCTCCACCTCCTGGGTTCAAGCGATTCTCTTGCGTCAGCCTCCCGAGTAGCTGGGTTTACAGGTTTGTGCCACCATGCCCAGCTAATTTTGTATTTTTAGTAGAGATGGGGTTTCTCCATATTGGTCAGGCTGGTCTCAAACTCCCAACCTCAGGGGATCTGCCTGCCTTGGCCTCCCAAAGTGCTGGGATTACAGACGTGAGCCACCGCACCCAGCCGAGATGCCAATTGGAAGGAAATTTGAAAAGGTTTGGTAATAATGTTATTTCATTAATTTCAGCCAAACCACACAACTAATTTATCTTATCTAGGCCTGACCCTGGCTTCTTCATTGTGTGGATACCTTTCCAAAGTGTTTGATATGCCAACATATTTAGAAGTTCTTTGATCACAAGCCCAAGGATGTGCAAAACTCAGAGCAAACAGCATTTACATTTATGTAATTTAATTTTAAAAATTAGCCCTAATTGAGGTGATCCTGGAGATGGTAATGTTGACTTGACACCTGGCTGCTTCTCTAAGGGCTATTTAGTTCTCTAGTGAATTTCATAAACTAAGGCTATGTTTTTATTTCTAGAGCTGGGAGTACCCAAGCTAGCAGTTTTGACCTTTGAATGTTTGGAGCACCAGAAGTTCTGATTATGAGATGAAGAGAAAATGACAGCTTTTCTTGTCTATTAAGAAACCAGGACTCACTCATGGCATTCCTTTGTACTTTGTCCTACAAACAGAATGGAGACTGTGACCCCTGATCTTTGGGTTGGCATTATTTTATTTTTCGAGATGGAGTCTTGCTCCGTCAGCCAGACTGGAGTGCAGTGGTGCAATCTCGGCTCACTCCAACCTCCCCCTCCTGGGTTCAAGCAATTCTCCGGCTTTAGCCTCCCAAGTAGCTGGGATTACAGGTGCCTGCCACCACGCCCAGCTAATTTTTGTGTTTCTTTTTTAGTAGAGATGGGCTTTCACCATGTTGGCCAGGCTGGTCTTGAACTTCTGACCTCAAGTGATCTGCCCGCCTTGGCCTCCCAAAGTGCTGGGATTACAGGTATGCGCCACCGTGCCTCACCTGGGGTTATATTATTTTAAAGAATGTGATCAGAATTGACCTGTTAGATACTCATCTTCTATGTGAATCTCTGTATCAGTTTATTATGTTTGGCAGTTGAATGTAAATTCATTAGAACAGAGTGGGATGACTTATAAGTACATTTCAGCAATGCGTTAAATAAGTTTTTCAGAAAAAATTTGCGAACTGTTAGCACAAATTGGCATCACTAATATGGCTGCTTTGTTTTTAGGTGATTGGCGAGGACAACGTGGCAGTCCCCTCACACCTTTATAAGGTAATCCTGGCCCGCAGAAGCTCAGTATCTACCGAACCACTGGCACTAGGGGCCTTTGTGGTACCTAATGAAGCCATCGGCTTCCAGCCTCAGTTAACTGAATTCCAAGTGAGCCTCCAGGACCTAGAGAAGTTGTCAGGACTGGTGTTTTTTCCTCATTTGGATAGAACTAGAGATATCCGGAATATCTGCTCTGTGGACACCTGTAAGCTTCTGGATTTCCAGGAGTTCACCTTGTACTTGAGTACAAGAAGGATTGAAGGAGCCCGATCAGTGCTCAGACTGGAAAAGATCATGGAAAACTTGAAGAATGCAGGGATTGAACCAGATGATTACTTCATGAGTCGCTATGAGAAGAAGCTAGAGGAACTCAAAGCTAAGGAGCAGTCAGGAACCTAGACAAGAAAGCCATCCTTGTTTTTATCTCAAGATGTGTCATACCGTCTGTAATGAAGCAAGCATGCCCTCTTTAGGCTAACATAGTTTAGTGGCTTTGCTTTTTGCTTTTTAAAAAATTTTTCTCTTTAAGAGATGTCTCGCTGTGTCATCCAGGCTGGAGTGCAGTGGTGGAATCATAGCTCCCTATAGACTCGAACTTCTGGGCTTAAGCAATCCTCCTGCCTCTGCCCCCGAGCAGCTGAGACTACAGGCACACACCATCACCCTCAGCTACTAGTGGCTTTGCTCTAAAGAAACAAATGGAATCCTAAATTTACGACTAAAAATTCTCCCAAAAGATGAAAGATCACAGTGTTTTTGTCAGTATTATATTTGACTCAGGAACTAATGATTAAGGGAGCTTTGACACCTGCAGATGGAGGACTGATCTTGTGTCAAGTTAACAGGAACACTGCCCACAGATGACACTGCATTTGTATCCCGCTGGATGTAGAGTATTGGGAAGGCATTTATTCAGTTTCATACCTCCAAACCATGCATTGTCTTTGATGTATCTGCCCAGCCTTCTCAGAACTCAGTGTTGTACATTTTTCCCCCTAGGACCTGAATTGGTCTTGGAGGTGGCTTTTAGAAATCATCTATGTAGTTCCTGTCCACATGGCACTGTATATTTGTTTCTTCTTTCTCCTCTCATGAATCTGCTCTTTTTTCTACTTCAGTCTACGTAGAAGTACTCAGCAACTAGTTTCTGCTGACTAGATTTATTCTATATACTAGGCTCAGTGCTTTACATGTGTTGTCTCACAATGACCCTCTGAGGTAAATACCACTATCCCCATTTTACCTGAGAGAAAATTGACGCTTAGAGAGCTTAGTGTCTTACCCGAGTTTCACTTTTCCAAAGTAGTCATCCACAAAGTATGAGGCAGACAGATCTAAGAGAAGAAAGACAGCTGAGGTAGATTCAGATTTTTTCTGACATGGATGGTGGCTTTTTACTCAGAAATATATACCTATTTCCATGAGTATTTGTGGGCCCAAGGCATGCTTGGTGAGAAGAGTCTGGTTTCTCATCTGCTATGCAAGCCAAAGGGACTTTAATGTTCTTTGAACTGAACCCTCCTTAGCTCTTTGGAAAGAGACAGTCAGGAGTATTTGGGAATTAGAGGGCAATATTTTGTGGGGTTTATTAGAGCCCATGCTTGCTTCCAGAGATGCAGTTCTTTTAGTGACCAGATACTGCCAAACTGATGTGTTCTTGCTTTCCAGGTGAGCTTTTTGTTCTTAAGATTAAGAAACCTAAGAAGGGTCTATGACCAGGCATGGTGGCTCAGGCCCGTAATCTCAGCACTTTGGGAAATCGAGGTGGGTGGATTGCTTGAGCCCAGGAGTTTGAGACTAGCCTGAGCAATATAATGAAACCCTGTCTTTTCAAAAAAATACAAAAATTAGCTGGGCGTGGTGGTGCACACCTTAGTCCCAGCTACTCGGGAGACTGAGATGGGAGGATTGCTTGAGCCTGGCAGGTCGAGGCTGCGATGGGACATGGTCATGCCACTGGACTCCAGCCTGGGCCGCAGAGGGAGACCCTGTCTCAAAAAAAAAAAAAAAAAAAAAAAAAAAAAAAAAAAAAGAAAGATCTGTCCACAAAATCACCAGCTTATTATTTGCTTCCTCTGTGCCTGCTTGCCTAGCATAGTGGGCCAAAGGTCCAAAGGCATTTAGCATTCCTGAGGGAAATTGTGGCTGTTTTTCTGAGCCAGATCTCTTGATTTGGGTTTATCTGGAGTCCTTTCGTGGACTATCCTGAGCATTGTCAGTAAAATGTCTTGGGGCATAAAAGCTTGTGTGAATCTGTCAGGCCATTCCGAGTGGTATTACAAGAAAGATTATTGTGGTGTGTTTGTTCTAAGAGAAGTGCCAAGGCTTTAAGATAAAGATAAGATAATAATGATTGACCTTGTTCTGCTCTTTTATTTGGGTAAAAAAGAAAAGTTGAGGGGTCAGAACACAGTAGCCTGATTCGTACCATTCTGTGTTATCACACTGTTCCCCATTAGCTTGTGTCAGTTCTCCTCTTCTCGGGGATGTAGAGCCAAAATGTCACTGTGACCAAACAATCTGTTATTTTTTCTCCTCAGTGGAGAGGTGATGGTGTGGCCTGGGTGTTTCTCCAGGAGTGTAAGTGGGCAGCTCTGTGGGATAAGTTCTAGGTACCTACTGCCCATCTCTAGAGGCGGGTCGCCAACTTCCTTCCCCTGTTGCTATGCTCTGTTCTGCCAACCTGCATTGCCAGCAGCCTTGGAGTTACTTCTCATGCTCTTCTTGCTCCTGCCTCTTCATCTAGATGGTAGAATCTCTAATTTTAGATCAATGAAGTTTTTTTTTTCCCCCCGGGGCATTCCTGAGTTTATTTGGGGCACACCCAAGCGAAGGCCTTGCACCTAGAAGAAGGTGTTGGGTCTCTTGGTGGGGAAGCATGGCTTGTGCTGATAGTGTAGGACCCAGTGGGGCAGCAGGAACTTGATCTTGGAGTCATGGAACTGCTTGACAGCTGGCCGGTGGCACTTGCTGGCTGTGGTCTCCTCCACCTTCATGGTCTGGATGGAGTGGGCCTAGGCATGGTGCCAGGCGCCCATGTCTCGGTAGCAATGGATGACAGCACCTGCAGTGGTCAGGTTCCTGTATTCCCGGCACATGGGTGCTGCTCAGGGTGTCATAGCGCAGCCAGATGCCGAAGTTCTTCACCCACGGGGCATTTCTCAAACACCTGCCCACAGTAACGATCTATCCTGAAGACTTCATCTTTAACTGAGATACCAAGTACCAGAAGCAGGACTTGGCAATGACATGATTAGATGCAAAGATTTGTATGTGGTAGAGGGTTGGTGTGTGGCATTTGGGGGTGGGCAGGCAGCGACCCACCACCTTGTACTCTCATAGTGTGCCCGAGGCCTTCATGGCATCCTCTCCACCCTCGCCGCCACCTGCAAAAGGACAGATCAATACAGTTTCTTAGGTTTTTATTTATTTTGAAAGATGTTGCCTGGTCATTGTGAAAAGTGGAGGTAAGAGGTTGTAATACAAAGTTGCAGTCTGCCAGTCCTCATTTTTATTTATATTTATTTATTTATGTGATTCACGAATCCGGCAGCCTTTGGAAAAGTTTGTTAGTGTGTAACAATGGTGTTTGAATTGTCTCAATGCTTTCATTAAGAGTTCCCCCAAACAAACTTGAAATGTAAATAGTTGGTTAGAGGTTAGCATTTTCCTCCTGTCATACTGCTTCAGCCCTCAGTGTGACTGTTGATCATCCTGGACTCAGATGCAGCATAGGCTGAGCCTGAGATTCTGCCTGTCTGTTCTCTTTTCCCTCAGACAGTCCCTGGTCTGAGGGAAAGCAGCTGAGGAGGAAGTGCAGTCCGGACAGGCTCTTCTGCTGGAAACCTACATCCCAAGTTTCTCTCCGCCCTCAGTTATATCTTTATTGTGAAATTCCAAACTCTTTGGTCTCTGAATTAAGGCTCTTGCACCAATATTGTTGTGTGTAGCAATACAACAAATTGCAAAGGTTAGGAGAATGGATGTCAGCCCTTAATTAAATACCTGTGAATATTTCTGCCCCTTGCACCTTGACCTTCAAGCAACGGAAAACTGTCTTTCCTTCAGACCTTTGATTAGAGCTCTAGGCTGAGTTCTATACTTGGAATGACTCTGAGTGTTACCATGTCACGTCACCTACTTGTGTCCCCTGGCCTCATCCTCGTGAGTACATAAGTATCATTGATATCACCTCCATGAATCGCAAACTTCCCATTAGCAGCCCATCCCTGAACCTAACCCTGCACCCAGGGTGCTGTTTGTTCCCTGCCTGCCCCTTCATACCTTTACCCCGTGTGTCCTTCCCCATCCTGGCACACCTCCATGTGCCTCCTGTATCCTCACTATAGTTCATTCTGGTGGATTTGGTCAGGGCTGGGCTCACATCAGGCATGAAACTCCTGCTCCTGCTTGTCTCCAGGCCTAGCCTCCATCTGGCATGTTTTCCTGGGTGTCATCATTCTTGGAGATTGTCTATCAGGGATCTGGTATTCCTTTTTCTAGTCTAGCCCCACCTTCAGGGAGCAAACCTCAGGTCATTAGGGCCAAGCAAGATGGACTGCATTGACACGGGCCCCATGCAATTCAGGACAGTGGGGGTGCCCATGGGCTTCTCTTTCCTACTCCTGAACATGCCAATTGTGGCAAGGGGTGGACTGCTCCTGAGTGCGCCAAGTACCTCTAGGGGTCACTGTGGCCTAGTGTCACTGCAAGACTTAGTCTCAGCTGTGGCACCACCCCAGCCAGTATGGAATTTACCACACCCCAGTGTGGCTCTGTAAGCCACAGAGAACTCAGCCTCAGACATCAGGCACCAGGCACTCAGGCTGGATGGAATAGCAGAGGTTATCTTGTCCAGTGGGTCTCATGTTTGGCTCACACCAGAATAGCCTCACAGCTTAATGTTCCCCCAAACTTTGAGAAATTTCAAACCCACAGAACAGTTGAAAGAAGAGTGTAATGATTGCCCCTCCCCCAAATTTTGTCTTGTTTGCTTTCTCTGTTTTCCAAATTATTAAAAGCAATTTGCTGTTTTTTTAATGGTAAATTATAGACATGACACTTACCTTTTTAATACTTCAGCTTGTATTACCTAAGAATAAGAACATTCCCCTATAATTCTAAAATATCACATCTAAGAAAATTACCAGAATTCAATATCATCTAATAAACAATTCCTATTAAAACTGGCCCAGGCATTCCAAAATGTCATTTATACATTTTTTTCCCTAAATACAGGTTTCAGTTGAAGCTCATATTGTTATAACTAGTCTCAATCTAGAATAATCTGCCTCAAAAAATAGATTCTCTAACTTTTCTTGAGGTTTTAATTCTGTAGATTTGATGTGAGGCTAGAATCAGTATTTTCTTTTCTTTTTTTTGGGAGAGTCTCGCTCTGTCAGCCAGGCTGGAGTACAGTGGCGTGATCTCAGCATGCTGCCACTTGTGCTACCTGGGCTTAAGCGATTCTCCTGTCTCAGCCTCCTGAGTAGCTGGAACTATAGGCGAGTGCCACCACACCTGCCTAATTTATATATTTTTAGTAGAGATGGGATTTCACCATGTTGGCCAAGCTGGTCTTGAACTGGCCTCAAGTGATCTGCCCACCTTGGCCTCCCAAAGTGCTGGGATTACAGGCGTGAGCCACTGCGCCCGGCCTGGAATTTGTATTTTCTAAACAAGCAACACTGGTGATTCTGCTGATCAACCAGGGTTTGGAGCCAGACTGGCCCCCTACTATACCTCCACCCTCTCCCAATACAGGAGTCCTTTGTCAGATAAGTGGTCTTTGAGCTTCCAAATACCTCTAAGGGAGTATGTTCTCCTATCCCTTTGGGTCTGCAGCTACCAGCTATGCAATTTTCTTTGTAGTAGGTCTTCATAAGATGAAGTTGAAACCTTCCCTTGTGATTCCTACCCATCAATGACAGGCCCAAACTGCCATTCCAGGCCACACAAAACTGACTGACACCTCCTTTCACCTGATAGTCCTTTCGAGATATGCAGCTTATAAAGACATGTGGCATCTCATGTCGTGCTCAGGTGCTCATGAATTTGAGACCCTTCACCGTCATGATTTTATATGCCGTCATGAAGTGGCAGCCACATCTGAGCAAAGCATTCAGGGTGCAGTGAGAGCAGTGCTGAACTGAGTCCAGGGGATTGACCACTCTTCTCAGGGACGCTCCACTTTTCACACTATATACCATTGCTTCCTGTGGAACTCGGTCCAACTAACTGCCTCAAGTCGTTTTCACATGATCAATCTGCTGTCAAATCACTTTCCCATTATGAACTTACATAGCCAATTTTTGGATGAAAATGTGAGATTTGATGTGTGCCCAACTGTTAAGATTTCATCTTGTTACAGTTTCTACCCATCTTCAAGTGAGTTCACATTCTTGATGATCCTGATTTGGCCATCTGACATGTTAGCTATGCATCCGAGCTTTGAGATAGCAGATTGGATAAACAAGCCTTCAATGTGTTTGTTAAAAACATTGAACAAGACAGAGCCATGGAAAATCCCTCTGATAAAAAATTCACTTTACATGGCAACCTGCTTCACATACCCAGCAAGTTTCATGTGATAATGTGCTCTGATATTTTCTATTAAGTTCATTTCTGTTTGTTTATTTATTTATAGAAACAGCATCTCACTTTCTCACCCAGGCTGGAGTGCAGTGGTGCAATTGCAGTTCACTCTAACCTTGAACTCCTGGGCTCAAGCAATCCTCCTGCCTCAGCCTTCTGAGTACCTAGGACTACAGGCATGTACCAGCATGCCTGGCTAATTAAAAAAAAATTTTTTTTCTGGAGATGAGTTCTCACCATGTTGCCCAGGCTGGTCTTGAACTCCTGGCCTCAAGCAATCCTCTCACTTTGGCCTCCCTAAGTGCTGGGATTATGGACTTGAGCCAAGTCACTCAACCCATTTCTGTTTCTTTAGAAAGAAAAACACTGAATTGATTGCACTACGGAGAAATAGGTCTCCATCACAATTTGCCTGTGAGTCACTCTGGGACAGGGAGAGTGCCTGCTGCATCTCTGGGTCCACATGGCATGGCTGGGCCAATGCTTTGGACACCAGCAGTGAGGGGGGAGGCTGCTGGGGAGACTTGGGGTCCCACATAATCATTTTTCCACTTATCAGTGCGGGGCAGTTGAGGACAACTGACTTCATCCTTCTGTATCAGGTTCCTCATCTGCAAGTAGGTTGAGAAAGACCTGCAGGATTGGTTGAGGATTGAATAAGATAACATATGCAGTTTGGTAAGCTCTTAATAAATAGTAGCCAGTTACTGTGAATTCTTGAGAATGATTATTGGTAACTGATAAAGGTCATCCTGATCTGAGAGAGTGAAGGACAGAGCCAGACCTCAGTATGGTGTTAACCTGTGGTGGTGGAAGCGGTTTAATCTCTTCCCAAATCCTAAGACTGTGATGTGTTGCTACCAGCCCTTTGAACATATCCATGCTTTACAGTTTGCAAAGCGCTTTCCAGTCAGAATTTATGCAGTCCACCATTTGAATCGGCGCGATTCATCCCATTTCACAAACAAAGAAACAAACTAGGAATTTACCAAGATTTTCCAGCTTCCAATCTTATGTTTGCCCTCAACTCCTTGTCCCTCAAAGTTGTTGTGTAGTTATTTTCATTTGCTTTCTAATTCGGTCATTTGTGCATTTACCCATTTTAGCCCTACAGTGCCCTGCTAACTCTTTAGAGGCAGGCACATAATGGAATTGATTCTTTTCTGAGGTTCCTGCGGGGTTTTGCAAACAGTGTGTGTTCAAGAAATGTTTTGGAGTTACGTAGCAAGTCAGAAAGGTGGAGCTTATCCTGCTTGAGTGCTAATGTGCTCATTTACTTGGGGTGGGGGGCGTGGGGACACAGAAGGGTGGGGACCTGGGTCCTGCTCTGTGGCTGTGGGCAAGCCTGTGTCTTGAATAACACCTGGGTACTGAGCATTGCTGAACACATGCCTTAACTCCCAGGGCACTTTCCCCGGGCACCCTATGTTAGGCTCTGCAGTCTGGTCTCTGGTCTGAAGCAGTCACCCTGGTGTGAAGATGGAAGCGTGGAGGTGGCAGTCAGAGTGCGCTGAGCAAGGGCTTTTGTGTGTTTGACCCTGGGAGAAGCAGAGCTAAAATTAGGTCTTCCAGTTGTGTGCAGGTGTGAAGCACCACCCCCTTACCTACCCCCAACCAGGATCTCAGAATTATTCCCATCGTCTCCCTCCTTCAGCCCCAGTTACTCCACAGGCACAGGATGAAATGTCCTACCTCTTGTGATGCCCGGACAGAAAGATCTACCCAAATGTCCTCCGAGGCTGAAGGGGTGGGAACAATGGCATGCAGTGGCCTTAAGTTTGCTGAGTCTCCCTAGCACCTTTGAGGCCTTGGTGCAACTAGGGCCCAACTGGCTCCTTCTTAGACCACCAGATGGGATGATGTTCGGGTTCCCTCACCACAACCGTGAAGGGACCCTGGCTTCTCACACTAGCCTCTTGATTGATGTGCTCCGTGCCCCTACTCTGCCCACCACTTCAGAGACAGCCTTTGACCCCTTGCCAGCCATCACCACTCAGATGGAAGAGAGCTTGTCTGGAGGCAGAGATGGAAGAGCCCTGCCCTGGGGGGTCTCATCCAAGGCAGGTGGAGCTCACGATGATACGATGATGTGATTGTGCTTTCTCTCCCTGCATGAGGCGAAAATATGAACAGATGCCCTCCTCAGGGATCAATGTGCCCCTCAGTCCTCCTTCACTATGACCCTTGGAACCCTGCTCTCGGGGGTGCCCCCGCTGAAACTCAGACTCTTTCATGTTCTGGTCTGGGGTGAGAGCCTGTCTTCTAGTTCTGGCTCCTTGGTGTACTTGCGATAGGATTTTAGGTAAGTGGCTGCTCCTCACTCTCCAGTTCCTCTATCTGTAAAGTGAGGGGTTGGGGCTAGACAGTGTCCAGCGTCCCTCCTCTTTGGTGTCTCTTAATTGTCCGGGGCAAAGCAATCCTTGGAGCAAGGCAGGCTGCTGGGGTGGTTTGCAGAAGAGGCACAGTGGGGCAGGCTGGAGGCTGCAGGGGCAAAGTGGGCCGAGGGCCTCTGAGGAGGTGTGAATGAGGGAGGTAGAGCAGGGCCGGTGTGGACAGCCCTGTCCCAGCCATATCTCCCGTCTGCGACACCCTCTCCACACCCCAGCGCTGATAAGCAGGTGTGAGCCACGGCCGCCTTGTGACAGGCCCTTCGGCAGGGAGGGTGATGGTGGGGGTCCACTCCACTTCTGAATTCAGATGTCAGCATCTTTTTCCCCCAACCCCCATTGCCCTGTCAGACTAGACAGGCCCTAGCAACCAGGCACCATTCCTGACAGCCCCTGGCTTGGAGATTTCTTTCTGCTCCATGTGGCCTCAGCCTTCTCAGAGATGGTAGGAGACAGATCTCCCTCAGTCCTTTCTGGCGAAGTGCCGAGGAGGATGACCACCTCCCACCCCCATCAGACCTGTTCCTGCAGTGACTGCTGATGCTGGGTCCTGACACACACAGTGCTTCTTATCCCTGGGCAAACTTGAATGGCTGATCCTCTTGTCTCCTCTCCTTACCCCATCTCCTCTATCACTGTGACCATCAGCTTCCAGTCTTCCCCCTCCAACTCCCTGGCTTTTGGGCCATTTCTCTGTCTGGGCCCACCTCTTTCCTCTAAGGCTACTGTTCACCAGAAGGCCATGCCAGAAACTTCTTATTTATGGGTTCATTGGGATGGGGTGGAGGGAGCAGAAGAGTCTTAGAGAAAGAGAGACAGAAACTTGGAGCTCTAGGGAAGGGGAAGGAGAAGACAAATAGGACCAAGCCAGAGGCTACAGGAAACCCTTCAGGGTGGAGGGTCTTGGCCCAGGTGTCCAGCCCCCAAGCTCTATGACACTGAACTCTGAACTTCCTTCCATGCTCTAAAAGGCTCTCTTCTGTGTTCAGATCTGAAGACTATTTTGATTAGCAGGCTGTAACCATACCTTTCCAGGCAGCCCTACTGTGTGTGTGTCTGTGGGGAAGGGTGTGCCTGTCCTCCCCTGTGTGCATTCCTGTCTATGGGTTCCATTCTCAGCCTCTGCATAGCTTAGGAGGCATCAGAGCATCCTGAGAGCACAGACTTGACCCAGGCCGATTAGCCTGGGGTCACATCTCAGCTCTGCCATCTGAACCAGGTGGGGGAGCTAGAGCAAGTAGCGTAACTGCCCCGTGCCTTGGTTTCCCTATCTGTAAAATGAAGATGATGACATGGATGATAGATAATACCACATACCTTGTGGAACTGTTTTAAGTACCAAATGAGCTAAAATACATAAAGTGTTTTAAACCATATCGGATACAATGTAATCATTGGCCATTAGTAATATTTTTGTAAATTTTATTTTAATATAATTTCAAACTTAG